CCGCGCGCGTATGATGATGGTGATGCCGCCGCCGCTCCCCCGCCGGCGCCGCGCCCGGCGGCGGCGGCGGCGACGGCGGCGGCAGCAGCCCCGCCGGCCGCGGCGGCGAGGGCAGCGACTGCTGCGGGTGGCCGGTGAGGATGCCCTGCAGCACGCCGCCCGGCACGCGGCGCCCGGCGGCGATGTAGGGCGCAACCGCGCGAACCGCGTTCTCCAGGCGCGCGCAGTAAGCCGTGAGGTGAGAATACTCCGCCAGCACGGCCCTGACCGCGGCGAGCACGTCGGCCGCGCCCCCGCCGCCGGGTGCGCCGGCGGCGGACGCGTCCGCGGCAGCCGCGAGGCGGGAGAGAAGTACCTCCACATCGGGCGGCGCCGGGTCGCCCGCCGCGACGCCGCCGCCGCCGGTGCCGCCGGTGCCGCCGCCGCCGTTAAAGGCCCCGCCGCTGCCGGAGCCCCGCGGACGAGAGAAGACAGCACCGCCGCCGCCGCCGTTGCTGCCGGCGAGGTGGCCGCTGGACGGCCCTGCGTGCAGGAGGGGGCGGAAAGGGACGGGGAGCGGAGACTCGTGCGCGTCCACTGCGAATCCAGCAGCGTGACCGGCCCCGATCGCTCTGCATGTGCGGGGCACGCTCCAACGGCCACGCCCTAGCAACACAGCCCTGCTCGCAGGCGCGTCGGCTCACAAAGGGCCCCGCCACAGCAGACGCCTGGGCGCTGCGCGGCGCCCCTGTCAGAGGCATGCGAGGACGCAGCCCCTGCGCCCGCCCGCCCGTCAGTCCTCCCACGAGATGCCTCCTGGCGCTCACTCTGGTTGAGCTGCTTGTATGGGAACGTCCACCCCCGCCGCTCCCCCACCTGCGACCAAGACGAGACCGGCAAGGCGCGGCGCCCCGGTGCATGCAATAAGGCCGTGAGAAAGGCGGGAGGCAGTCCATGGCCCCGGCCTGCATGACCCCGCATGCTCACGCCCCGCACACTCGTCGCTCCGCCACCGACACGGGCACCGCCGCCCCCCCACCCATCCCGTCGGTCCCTGCCAGTTTGGGACTTAAGCTCGCCACCGGGCAGTCCGGGGCCCCGGCTCGCCCCCGGGCAGTCCGGCGTTCGCGCCGCCGCACCATGCAGTCCAGGAAGTCCCGCCACTCCATCTTCCAGGCGGCGTCGAGGGACACGATGTCGCGCGCCGCCACGGCCCCAAAAAACAGCAGCTCCAGCGACACGCAGCCCTGAGAGCCGCCCGATTGGTGAGTTGGTTGGTTGGTACATTAGTCATTCGGTTGGTCATCCGATGGTCCTGCGTTTTCCATTTTGGCACATGATCATGACGGAGAGACGCCAAGATATAGATGATGAATGGACAGGTCAGCAGTACGTTTGACTGACGGTTTTGTAGGCGGTGTGTTTGACCGACGCGTGGGTCGTTTGACTGACGGGCGCCGTTCCTGAGAGGAAAGGACAGCAGTGGCCCCCTGCCCCGGGGTTGCGCGAGCCGCGCCACCCACCGACCCCGGCGCCTGCCCCCACTGGCACCACCGCACAGCAGCCCGGGCCCGAAGCGCCCGCCGCGGGGCGGCGGGAGGCGCGAGCGCTGGGCTTTATGGCCGCGAGGGTGCACACATGTGTGTATGTGCGTGTGTGTGTGTGCGCGCATGCGCGCACACACGTGCACGTGCCTCCCCACCTGCTGCTTGCACCAGACAGCCGGACGGATGAAATCGGCATCTCCTGTTATGAGAAGGATTGTTCCCATAGTGTGGCCCCTGCGGCGATGGCCGAGGGCGCGACCAGAGGGGGGTTTGGAGGGTGGCGTGGGGAGAGGGGAGGGGAGGGAAAGCCAGGGCAGCTGGCGACGGTTTGGGGCGAAAAGCGGCTGTTGAGATGTAGACCGATGAGAGGGTGCCGGCGTGATTGCGTGCGGCGCGGCTGGGCGATAAGACAGTCGGGCGGCGTGGCGGATTTTGGGGGAGGTCGGCGATCGGGGCTGCGCGGTTGACAGGGCGTGGGGCGGGTGGGGGCGGG